ACCTTCCACAGCATCAAATCTTCGAACTCTTCTCGATTATTTATAAATTATCAAAAAAATGCATATACGAAAACGATGATTATTCATATTCTAAGCGGAAAAAACTCTTACCGATAACGATGGACGAAGACACTCTTGAAAATGTACGTCAGCATTTGCCGAATATCTTCCGTTTTGTCTTCAAGCTGTAAAAAAAAAAGCTCATTTCATTTCAGCTCTTGAAAAAATAACATAAAGATCGTTTTAAGTAGCGATTAAGAATTTCAAAAAAAGAATAACTTAAACTGAAACTGCTCAAAAGAAAGCAGCAAAATGCTATTGTATAGAATCGCATCAAAAAACTTGCCTCATTTTTCTTGTGGATGAGAACGTCAAGTCGACTGTTTGCGTTTTCTACGCCCAGTTTCGCTTTTTCTGTTTCCACCTGTAGTGCAAGAGGAAAAAGTATTTTATTTGCGAATACAAAAAAGTAGCTCTTCCTTTCTGCATCTGATTAGTGTTAAGAGTTACGGGAAACAGTAGACAAGCTAAGAAAGCAATGGGTCGCTGTGAACAGTATGTGAAGCGACAAATCAATGCAAAACAGCATTGCGGAAACGGCTAAAACTATGGAAATCGACAAAAAAAGAGTCTGTAATCAACTTATCCAGTACGCCTTCGACATTTTGTCATCTAAGGTCAACCTGGATGTTACAGTCGGCTTAGGAATCAAATGCTCGTGATAGGATTTCACTTGGTGAAGTAAGATTACGAAAAACAAAAATTGGAGGTTGTTGGCTGTATGCCAAATGTCTCCTCCAAAAGTAAGGAAAACGGAAATGGCTGATGCCTAGTGGTGAATACCTGCATGGCGTTTCGCTCCTTCAAATCGACCAATTCCAGAGCCACGTCCACAAGAGCCGACGACAATTTCATTGCTAAAATATTCGCTATTTAAGGTTAAAAGAAAAATGTAAGAATGATGATGGAAAAATATAAAAAAGAATGATGGAAAAGATAAGAAAGGAAGGGTGGGAAAAGAAGTATTAAATTAGGTAAGAAATGTTTCGGTCCATTAAGTCGTATCCATTTCTTATACACATTTCTTAAATTATACACTAAAATTATACACAAAGGACGCGAAAGCCTTTTATCTTGGAAATTTCGGTGAAAAGTCAAGTTGAAGTGAAAGCGTTCCGCATTACTTTCCGTAATAGATGGAGAAACTCCGAAATAGTCCAAGCGCTAGCATATGACAATAGCAATGACTAGCCCACAAAATTGCCCATTGTTTCGTTTCGGAAGGTTGCTTACAAGCAAACTGGCTTTTTTAAATCACTCCTATGCGTCAATACCAATTTACCAACGAAAAAGCCAAAAAAAGGATTAGTTGTATCACCGATAGAGCTGAACCCTTGGATTGCCCGTGTTTACAGCTAAGGGATGAAACATAGACATCATCCAAACATGTCTTCTTGCACATGACACTTACAAGATAGCCACTGAGTTGCAAAAAAACTACTGAAGTCGCTTGTGCAAAAAAGAGGGCCAGCGATAGCCAAACCAGCGGTAGCAGTTGCTGTTGGTACATATTACCACTCTTCTGAGTTTTCCAGAAGTTATTTCTGTGATTAGGGGGCTGTAGTGATGATTCCCATCGCTAACCACACCTCGCGCTGTCTGTGTTTACAGCTAAGGGATGAAAAACTGACAGATCACCCTACACATATACCCCGAACATGACCATTTTACCTGTCAACTGGTTTGTTCCATATCAACAACCCCAATTATTTTACTCGCTACCACTCTTTACTAAATTCTATTCTTCCAGGCCTGGACTATATGGGATTCAGCTGTGCTGAATTCCCCCCAGTTTCTACAGTCCTCTTCCTTTTTATGCATTTTTTGCAGCAATGCAATGCGAAAAACGCATATTGACGAGAGGTTGTCTGTGCGTCTGTGTGTGCGTCTGTCACACATTTTCATCTCAGGACCTATGAAAGCTGCGGGGCTGAAATTTCGGAAACTTAATCTACATGCACGTGCCGTCCCAATCCCCAAAATAGGCGT